TTTATTTGATATGAATAAACACATATGTTGTAGCCTTATGGCATGTTGTCATAACCAGTCACACGTATATCTCTCACATGCACACACTCATTACTTGCATTATTGCTAGTGACCAGTTAATCCAGTCGCCACATTGGCTTCCAGCTACCGAGTCATTAGTATCATTAGTATCATTTTAACAAATTTTTTGGAATGAGCGGGTGACTCCATCCTAAAGTGATGTCACACTGCCTCACTTGTGGGATTCATCTTCAGTCACACTCAAGTCGTCTCCCATCTGCTCACTGAATACTACAAACTGTGTCAGAAGGAGAACTTCTAATCCTCTTCCTCATGAAATGGCCAAACACATTTCTAAAGGACTCTTATGTTTGTTGGCCTCTTTCACCAAGCTTTTCCTCTCCAGCTCGATACACTTTCTGCTCGGTTTCTGTAGCAGAGCCTTTGAATAATCAATGTTTGCCTGATAATGCACCTGCACATGGTGACCTTCAGGTCCTGGGGTAAATTGGATTTCATGGTTGAGAAGTGACGACAGGGGATTGTTTGATTGAGAGCTGATTGCTTCCACAAGTTTAAACTCTCATCCCTTTTTCTAATTAGTCTTGAAGAGAGAGGTTGTAATACAAGGAGGGTTTTTTACCCCCATGTGTTTATTTATATATTCCTTTATTTTAATTACTTACTTTAAGTTTAAGGTGATAAACACCATCACACATTCAAACAGAGCACACACAGTCTGTTAACGGGCATATTTTGTAAACAAACTATGTGTCTGTGTTCTCATTTTTTATTCTGAAGCGACAAAAACTTGGCACTAAACTTTGTCAACTTTGATAGTTGGAACTAGAATAACTAGTCCATCAAATCAATTCTTAATATTTGTATTAATTCGGACCCGTGATGCCGGTCAAATGTTGTGTTAAAGTTATCATCCAGCAGCTTTAGTTTATGGCTACTGCCATACTCCCACAATGTCCTACTACCTGGCTGTAAACAAGCACAGTGAACAGATGGCATCTCGTAGCATGGAGAGGTTCAGCAGTGTTTTGATCTCAGAAAATGGAGATGAAGTTGTAAACTATAAGATGTGTTTGCGGTCAAGTCATAGCATTTGACCGGCATTTCAAGCCTGCCTTGATAACATTTGAATAATTAGTTTATCTGACCAAAATTGCGCTTTTAAACTAGCAATGATGCACTTCTGAAAAGGATTGAGTTATTTTCAGGACCAACTCAAAATGTACTTTATACACATAATTCATTAGTTCTTACCCATACATTTAGACCCATTTCCTGCTTTCCCTCTCACTTTACATTCACATTCACATTCCATGTCTGAATTTCTGATGACAGAGTGAGTATTTCTGAGTAGCAGAGAGAAAGTTAAGTATTCATACAGTCAGTGTATTTTTATCATAAACACAATACATTTTTTAATTTATAAAGCAGGATTGTCCTGTCCAACATCTGCTGTCGCAAAAAGTAATCCTCTCCCATCAATGCCCTCAATCTAACTTCAAAATCTAAAACATTGTGTCTAATTTAATTGTTTTTGCTCAATTGAAGCCAATTTCCATCAGTGAGAGAGGTTTTCCACAGCCACTAAACATAATTTTATAATCTATTCCCAAAAATGAAGAGCCCAATCAGCAGCTCCCTCTGGCCTGATGTTTCAATCTGTTTCCCAATCTCACTTCTAATTTATCTTACTCTAACCCAGCAAACCTGCTGCAGTGTAGTGCTATTTGACATTTGTCCTTCTGCAGTGGGCAATGAAGTAGGAGAAGAGTGTTTTGGCATCGATTCACATTTCGATCCCACAAACTCCTTATAGCACCCTCTGTTTTTCTTTTCCATGAGTTAATCTGGGGTTTTTTCAACAAGCTTAAAATGTGGTGAGTTTCTTTAGTGCAACAGAGTGTGCGTAATCCTCCAGTCTTCCTAATGTAGTTTTAGCTCTCAATGACAAAAGTGAGGTAGAACAAGCCAAGACCATTGTCATTCACTAATCCACCACATGTGTTTGCAGTGATTTGGTGTATTCCTTCATTTAAATTCTTCATGTATTATTTATGTAACCATATTAATAATATAAACTGGCAGGTGATGACTGTACACTGTGTTCTTGTCATTTTCTTATCATGTCATCTTTTAATTTTTCACACTAAAATGCGAAGGTCTCTTTTGCCTATTTTATTATTTCTTTTAAATATGTCTACAGACATGAGGACTTATTTATTAGTTACTGTGTTTCTGCACTATTTTATCCCTTCATACTTTCTGTATCTGTATAAAAGTTACATAAATACTTCATGTCAGGGATGCAACAGTTCTCAATATAACATTGAACTGTCCGGTACGGCATCTACGGTTCAATACCAGCTTTTGAATTGCGGTTTTGCATAAAACAAGTTTCCATACATTGTATTTTTCTGTGAATTGGCTCTGTTTGTGTGTGCCTGTGAGTCCACATGCTGGGATGAGGAAACTCCTCCCCACGCATTAATATCTAATCACTATGCGCTAATGTTGGGGGAAGCTGACAACACTGGCGTCAGATTTCACAAATGACTTTAGGAGAGCAGTGAGGAGAGTCCATTTTTCTTTTTCTTTTATCTTTATTAGATCACAAAGTCCCCTTGCCTGTTTTTTTTCATGATGACAGAAAATTGAGCTGTTGCATGTTGTGATTAATTTATCTTCTTAAACCTTGAACCTTGCTGCGCGTTCCGCACTCATCAATATTAAACCGTGATTTGCCAGAACGAACATTTATTTTCAGAGGCCATAACACTTTTGAGATGTGTTTTTTTTTACTGAAAAATCGAAGTTAACCAAAGTGTGGAAAGCGTTTTTTCAGTGTGGAGTGCTCTATCTCTGAATGGTCTACAGCCAAGAAAATGGGACCTCCATCTGTAAAGCCTGCTGCATGGCAGCTGGTTGGTTAATGTTATTAAGGCTAACCAGACAGGTTAACCGTTTCCAGCTAACGCTCTATATTTTTAGGGCATTTTTATTTGCAAATTGCTAGGCCAGTTCATATTTGGTTTGGATTTTTTGATAACAGAAGTACACAAACTGATAAGCTACCTTGCAACTCTGAACATCTGCCTTAAGCATCCAACTGACTGACTGTATCTGTAACTGAAGCGGTATTGCATGCATGATTAGAGGCAGGTGACACACAGATTCACTGCATGGTGTCTGTTCACTGCAGTGGGCTCAGTTGAAGGACTGCACTTCTAATGCAGTCAGGCAGATTTTTCTTATAAATTAATCATTGAAATAAGAAAATGGTAATGGTCTATCTTTGCATCAACCAAAAAAAAGACATGTTTCTGGTTATTTGCTTGACAGTCCTCTTGACTTGCATATGCGCAAATGTATTGGTGATGGTTAAAAACACATCGTGTACCTGCTCATTCTGAAAATATTATCGGCCATTCATTGAACTACATGAAATAACTTATCCTGCCTCAGTCCTTTCTTTCAGGGAGGGGTTAAGGATGGATGACTGATTTAAAAATGTTTGGAGAGTTGGCACCTTTTTGTCTGTTTACGGATGCCAATTTCTCTTTGACCCTGACAACATTAGACAAGCAATTGTTGTTGCCTCAACTTAACCAAATCTTAAATAAAGAATTTAACAAAATTAAAAAAATATATTTTTGTGAAGGTTACTTGCAGCAGGTACTGATGGTAGCCCAGACTGAATATGCTCCTAATTTTTAGTTGGCAGTCAGAGAGAATCAACTTAGGTTTTAGTCTGCAGAGAGTGAGTTCATAAATACTCCTGTTGTTTGTGTGCCATCCACTCTCCTCATTATCTTTGCATGTTTGCAACCAACAACGTCTACAAACAGTAAGATGACCCAAGCATCAAAGAGAATTAACAACACTTTCCATGCTGTGAGTCAAATATTTGCAAGAGAATAAAACAGCAGCATAAAACAGTGAACAGAGCAGCATTTGAATATTACATCAAGGATATATCTTTCCACAGCACTGTATATTTGAGTGACTGTGGGACTCATGAACAAAAGCACACTCTTTTTTTCCAATGAAAAGATGAACACAAAATTCAAACATCAGAGTAGGATGCTGTTTGATGAATGACAATATAGACAAGTCATCATCCCAGAGTTTAGATGGCAGATGTCAAACTATCTGCCTTTATAGTTGGTTTCAAGTAGCATGAACTCCTTCTCTGACGGTGAAGTGTTTGTAGTGTGTTTGACAAGGTTGCATTTCACTCTAGACACAGAGAAGAAAAAAAACCTGAATAGACTCAAGCAAAAACTCCCGTACATGTAAATCATTAAGATGTCCAAAGGCACAGCAATGCGCACACACACACACACACACACACACACACACACACACACACACACACACACACACACACACACACACACACACACACACACACACACACACACACACACACACACACACACACACACAACCTTGTGTCCGAGCAGAAGTCAAACTCTCCCATGAGGACTCTGTAGTGTTACCACACCAGACAAATGGAGAGAGTGAAAAGAGCCCTGATCCAACACTGTCATAGCCTCTGTAGCGCTGCAGAAGTTATAAAAGCGACTGGAATATGGATGAGTTGGAACCTACCGCGATTGAAATGTCTGTGCCTTTGTACTACCCTACGAGGTGTGGGAGAAGAGGGTGAGAGAGAGAGAGAGAGAGAGAGAGAGAGAGAGAGAGAGAAAGTAGGGCAGAGAAGAGTAGACAACAAGGTGGAGCTGATACTTTGCTGGCCTGAGCGTGAACACCAGTTGCCCTCGAGCACTGGTTCTCGATCAGATTATTTTAACCCCATTCGCAATGCTGCATGGCAAAGCCTTATCCTCAGTTCTGTGTGTGTATCTGTAGCAAAATATTCTCCGTTTTCTCTTGTCGGCTAAAAAGGAAAGCATGACAAACTTCTATGGGTTCACAACACGTAAATAGTAACACTGGTTTCATCAATTCTCTTTCAGGTAACATCCACCTACTCAGATCCAGGATTCTGGGAAATGAGCTGCCAATGTAAGTCCCTTGCCTGACCTCAGCACTCAAGTGGTAATGTTGCTTTTAAATTAATCAAACTGACACAAAGTTCTAATAGAGTACAAAAAAAAACTGCACCCTAACCTTTAACTTCCCCCTCCTAGCTAACCAGCAGGGACAGGACTCACCTCTGACTTCATTTATTAGCAGCTAATTGCTATTCCCTGCAAACACACACTGATGGAACTTCAAAAGGATGACTCACTGCAGGACACGCTAGTGAAATTCAGATTTCAAATGCAACCCTTCCTCCAGAGCTACACCACAGAGTTGACACTTCTAGTTTTAGTTTGTCATCCCCAGTACAAGGAAGGTTTAAGGTGCTATCAATAATGGATGAGGATGTGAGACTTTTCGGCAAGTTTACAGAAGCCGCGGTGCTTCAGGACTGGCCAGCTCTACACCTGGAAACTGATTTTGTAGCCTTTAGGCAGTTCTGAAGGGAGTGAAGTCAATCACTGCTGCTTACAGCAAATATAAGAAGCTCAAGCTTTAAGGGAATCACAGCAGACTGTATAATAAATCAGGGATATTTATGCAGAAGTGTTTTATATACCGGGAGATATATGCCATTGTCCTTTATTTCTCTACACACACTTTGTGTCCTTGTAAGTTCTCTCAAAATATTCACACCCACACTTCCAACATGTATAGCACATTTTCACATGCACATTGAGGCATGCTTTTGCAAACACATCGAGCCCCTGGCATTTACATGCTCAGGCACATTTAGACCTTAGCAAATGTGCACGTGCACACATATCACCAGTATTTATGCACAAATAAGGGTTCTGCCAGGCGTGCTGCTGTATTTCGGAGATAACATAAAAGCTCCAATCACAGCACTCCTCTCCATCCTTCCCATAAGGCCCCTGATGGGACTCTCCCTAGGGTTGGAGGATAAGCGGGTATAGCAGACAGCACACAATAGGCCATGTTAGAGGTTTTAGAATTGGATCTGGAGGTTGCATTTGACACCATATTTTGTACAGTAATCGTGTACAAAAGGTGAACCGGCGTTTGATAACAAATTACATCACACCACTTGCTCTTTAGCAGATTAATTCATGCTCTCTTTCTCAGGTCAAAGTAAGACATGCAGCCTTTGCCAAGGTATAATCAGATCAAAGATAACTTTGCAGAGGAAAGACAGAAAGTACACAATATTGAAAGACTATGTTCAAAGCTGGGTTCACTCTGTGAATGAGAATGTATAGGGAGCAGAGTGAGGCTCCAAAGGACGGCTGTGATTGATGCTTTACTCTATCCTGGATGTCTGCACACAAAGAGAGGGAGACTGTGGCAATTTCCCTCAATCACAGAGCAGAACTCTTGTGTCTCTCCCCTCCTCTCATCTCTTTCTTGTACTACACATGCATTATTAAGTGCTCACCCTCTCTGTGATCATCCTTTCTAATTAAAAGCCGCTTTTAAGTCTGTGAAAAGTGCTTTTCCCACACGTTGAATTTAAACTGGGTTATTTATTTAAACTGAAAATATATTTAAGATGTGAATGGAGCCACACACTTTTCTTTGACTTTGTTATTTATGATGCCTGAAAACCAAAGCTGAATGGTTGGTTATCCCTGAGATTAGATGTGGTGCTGCTACCTCTAAAAACGTCATATTTTTACATTAGTCACAGCAGAGAAAACATTTGTTATGTAGTATGGTACTTAAATGACTTTCACACTGTGAAAAGAACATGGAAGGAATTAATTAATGTAATTTGCTGTTACTATGACAAGGTCAACACACTCCCTGACTCAGAAATCCTATCAGCAAAGATCCACGGTACCTGCTTCAGCGCAGTTTAACCAGGTAATGAGTCTCAGTGGTGAAACTCAAACCACAGTGGGAAGGAAACCTCGTGGGGACAGGTTGATGAAGCAGACTGCTAATGTAGAAAAATAGCCTCTGATTTATAATTTGACAACAGCAGAGCAAAACCCTGGTATATAACACTGAGTAATGCTCTCACATACCTTAATACGATGTCAAATTTGGTTGTAAATCCAAATTATGTTTTTTTAAGTTAAATCCATGGACTGTAAATATTAATGGATGAAGCCTGAGTGACATCAGCCATCTGTTACAGCAGGGGGCTCCGGAGGCTCATCAGCAGCAGCCGCCATGCTGGAAATCCTGTCTCAGGCTAACTTTCAGTCAACCTAACAACAGGCTGAGAGCGGAAGCTGACGCGGGCTTTAAGCCTCTTGACAAACCGTTACACTGCGCCCACCTGTCAGTTATGTCAGCTAAGCACATATGGATAACACATATCGTTTTCAAAATCAAAACAGAGCTTTTTTTCTTTTCTTTTTTTTTTAAATCACCCCCCATACAGTGTGTGCCAGTGATAACAATAACTAATCAGACATACTACTGGTACTACTTTTGTACCAGGCTGTTAACATTAAAACGTTAATTTATGCTGTAAAACAGAATTTTGCCAGTCATGTGTATGTGAACTCCGGTGTTCCTGCAGCCAGCCTCAAGCGGACACTCAACAAACTGCAGGATTTTGCACTTCAGCATTGGCTTCATTTTTCAAGAGCAAAGGTTGCCGCTTGGCTAAATCTCAGCACTGAGCAATTGGTTGTTGTTTTTTACATCAGGGGAACTATGGGTTTATAGTTTGGGAAAGCATAGAGGCTGTATAATGTACATTGTGTTATACAGAAAAATGATGGTCTTGCGATAACATGTGTTGTGAATTGGCGCTATAAAGATTGATTGATTAAAGATTGACTGATAGGAAGTTATATGTGACAGTTCTGTATGTTTGTTTCTTTAAGACATTGAGCAGTCATATTTCAATGAATCTTTTGAGAGCGGTTCCATTGGGAATGCAGCCTTTCATCATAGGGATGCTGTCATTTTTATCATCCCTCTGGAGTCATATTTCTTTCTTACATATAGTATACCTAGAAACATGGCTTGACATTATAGCTGGCCCGCTAGCCAAGACCATAGACTGTAAAAATAAATGGACAAAACCTGAGTGATGTCAACCATCTGTTACAGGTGGGATTGGAGTCCCATCAATGGCGGTCACCATGCTGTAAGTGCTTTCTCAAACCAATTCAATTTTTTGAACCAGGCTGTAAACATGTTCATTTCTGCTGTAAAAACTGGCTTTTTTGAAAGGGCGTGTGCGACATTCTGTAGCTGTCATATTTTTTTTCTTAAATAATGATTTTGTGTTTAATTTACCTTCAGGCATGCCAGCTATCCAGTTGATTTCCTGTGGGAAACACTGCTCACTGAATAAGAAAAAGTATTAAATAAATTACTTTACATCAGATCAGTTCATTTCCACATTTTGAAAGTCTTAACTGTTATTCTCAAAATAAAAAGTAATGTTCCTGGGCCAGTGTTTGCAAGTGATCTTGAACTTAATGTCAACCCCTGCTAGAAATACTGGATATCCCAGTAGGTTATTTCCTAAAGCATGACTATTTAAATTTGGCTTTGTGTGTTATATTAAGAAATACCATTATGTGGCTTTAGCTACATGCCAAGGGACTAAAACTTCATAGTCAAGAATTGTACTCTATGTTTAAAATAAATGTCTTAATGGAGCTAAAATTAGGTTTGAGCTTTATATCCTATGCAGCTGCATATTCTGAGAGTAAATGCTCATGTCTCCTAAATGTCAGTGCTGTGTATAACATAAACCATATATATGCACCGTCTCCGCCAGTCTGACTTTATGACTGTTGTCATGGCAACAGCTCATCCTTTTTGCTATTGATGGGTTGAAAGGTTGACAGACGCCCATTAGGGTATTATTGTGACGTCATTTGGGGATTGTGTGGCAAGAATTCAGGGTTGACCCACTTGGCTTACAGCAGGGACCCTGGTCCACTCGCTCCACATCACATGACCCCCTCACATCACGACAGGAAGTGACTTTTCACCTTTTTTCCATTTCACATAATATCACTGCTGTTCTGCTGCTTCCTCTGTGTGTGGGGGGGGTCTAGTCTGTGTAGATGTGTTAGGCCGAACCATGGCTATTGTGTGTCTGGCCAAGGGCATTTTATAGTGGGTGAGGTTTAAGGCTTATCCTGGCGAGATTTATAGTCCTGCTGCGGTTGATCATAACTTGCTGTGGGTGACTGCTCATAGCTCACACACATGTAATGAAGCAATTCTCAGACGCCACAGGACATCACTGAGCTGAAGCTTAGGAATAAGGTTTGAGAGCTTTCATTAATGCTTTTAGATCTTACAAAAGTTTGCTCATCAAGTAACATCACAAACCCCTTTTTAACCGTTTTTATTTACTTCATCCTGAACTCTGGAGGTTGACTTCAGCGTTTGTTGTGTAAAAACATTAAAGACTAGCTTGTTACTGAACTACAGTTCAAATATGAATATTAAGTTTTGTTCTATATGATCTTGACAAAGTGTAAAATGACACAGAGCCTGCTCTAATATGATGCGATATCAAAGAACAGCTAAGATTTAAATTAGTGTGTTAATTGCCTTCAGTATTATAGATAAAAAAATGTATGTTGAAAGTTTGTGTTTGAATCCATACGAGTGCATTTACACATTCATGAAAAATAAGCTAGTGTCTGTGTGCATGCATGCGCAAACTTCTCTGTGTCTGTCTGCAGTATTACTTTGGATTTACCCTGAATCAAGAGATAGAGGACCCAGCTGCAGCCCACAACCCTCTCCCTCTCCCCCTCCCCCTCCCCCTCCTCCTCCCACTCACCTCCAACTGTGTGCAGAACCAAGCGAGAGACTCCAATCTCTGTTTCGTTCCCAAAATATAAAAATGCACTCTGAAATAAAGTAGCACAAGGCCATGTCTGGCCATGATGCTTTCGGCTTGAAATTGGGTTCAGATGGGTTGTATCATGGGGTCGTCTGCTTCCTGCAGATTTAATTGAAATAAGATTCATATTTGTTACAGACAAAGTAAACAGGATGATTGATTTTAGCGGAAAAAAGTATATTCCCAT